ACACAACAAACTCATGTGTCAAATTTGCATGATTGAAATGATTTGGAGTTTGAGCACAAATTTCTAGTAACTGAAAGTAGACGCGATTTGGGCCGACTAAGGTTCATAAAATAATTACTTAGAAATTTCAAAATTCAGCATAAAAAAAGTGAACACATTAATGAGGCAAATTTCAATTAACTTGAAATTTCAACATTTGGCACAAATTTTGGGCGAAAAATGTTGAAATTAAACCATCAAAATTCACTCAGCTCGAAATTGCAACATTCAGTACAAATTTTGGACCGAAATTGAACTAATTAATGTGTCAATTTTCAATAAATGTCAAATTTCAACATTTGACACAAATTTTGAGCGAAAGATGTTTAAATTAATCCATCAAAATTCACTCAGCTCGAAATTTCAACATTCAGTACAAATTTTGGACCGAAATTAAACAAATTAATGCGTTAATTTTTAATAAATGTAAAATTTAAAACATTTGGCACAAATTTTGAGCGAAAAATGTTGAAATTAAACCTTCAAACCTCACTCAGCTCGAAATTTCAACATACAGTACAAATTTTGGACTGAAATTAAACAAATTAATGCGTCAACTTTCAATAAATGTCAAATTTTAACATTTGGCACAACTTTTGAGCGAAAAATGTTGAAATTAAACCATCTAAATTCACTCAGCTCGAAATTTCAGCATTCAGTACAAATTTTGAACCAAAATTAAACAAATTTAAGCGTCAATTTTCAATAAATTACTTATTTCAACATGTAACACAAATTTTGAGCGAAAAATGTTGAAATTAATGTGTCAAGTTTCACTCAGCTCGAAATTTCAACATCCAGCACAAATTTTGAACCAAAATTAAACAAATTAATGCGTCAATTTTCAATAAATTACAGATTTCAACATGTAGCACCAATTTTGAGCGAAAAATGTTGAAATTAAAGCGTCAAATTTCACTCAGATCGATTTTTTAACATCCAGCACAAATTTTGGACCAAAATTAAACTAATTAAAGCGTCAATTTTCAAGAAATTACAAATTTAAACATGTAGCACCAATTTTGAGCGAAAAATGTTGAAATTAATGCGTCAAGTTTCACTCAGTTCGAAATTTCAAGATCCAGCACAAATTTTGGGCCAAAATTGAACAAATTTAAGCGTCAATTTTCAATAAATTACTTATTTCAACATGTAGCACCAATTTTGAGCGGTAAATTTTGAAATTAATGTGTCAAGTTTCACTCAGCTCGAAATTTCAACATCCAGCACAAATTTTGGGCCAAAATTGAACAAATTTAAGCGTCAATTTTCAATAAATTACTTATTTCAACATGTAGCACCAATTTTGAGCGGTAAATTTTGAAATTAATGTGTCAAGTTTCACTCAGCTCGAAATTTCAACATCCAGCACAAATTTTGAACCAAAATTAAACTAATTAAAGCGTCAATTTTCAATAAATTACAAATTTCAACATGTAGTACAAATTTTGAGCGAAAAATGTTGTAATTAATGTGTCAAGTTTCACTCAGCTCGAAATTTCAACATCCAGCACAAATTTTGGGCCAAAATTGAACAAATTTAAGCGTCAATTTTCAATAAATTACTTAGTTCAACATGTAGCACAAATTTTGAGCGAAAAATTTTGAAATTAATGTGTCAAGTTTCACTCAGCTCGAAATTTCAACATCCAGCACAAATTTTGGGCCAAAATTGAACAAATTAAGCGTCAATTTTCAATAAATTACTTATTTCAACATGTAGCACCAATTTTGAGCGAAAAATGTTGAAATTAATGCGTCAAGTTTCACTCAGCTCAAAATTTCAACATCCAGCACAAATTTTGACCCAAAATTAAAGAAATTAAGCGTCAATTTTCAATAAATTACAGATTTCAACATGTAGCACCAATTTTGAGCGAAAAATGTTGAAATTAATGTGTCAAGTTTCACTCAGCTCGAAATTTCAACATCCAGCACAAATTTTGGACCAAAATTGAACAAATTTAAGCGTCAATTTTCAATAAATTACAGATTTCAACATGTAGCACCAATTTTGAGCGAAAAATTTTGAAATTAATGTGTCAAGTTTCACTCAGCTCGAAATTTCAACATCCAGCACAAATTTTGGGCCAAAATTGAACAAATTTAAGCGTCAATTTTCAATAAATTACAAATTTACACATGTAGCACCAATTTTGAGCGAAAAATGTTGAAATTAATGTGTCAAGTTTCACTCAGCTCGAAATTTCAACATCCAGCACAAATTTTGGACCAAAATTGAACAAATTAATGCGTTAATTTTCAATAAATGTCAAATTTCAACTTTTGGCACAACTTTTGAGCGAGAAATGTTGAAATTAAACCTTCAAAATTCACTCAGCTCGAAATTTCAACATCCAGCATAAATTTTGGGCCAAAATTGAACAAATTTAAGCGTCAATTTTCAATAAATTACTTATTTCAACATGTAGCACCAATTTTGAGCGGTAAATTTTGAAATTAATGTGTCAAGTTTCACTCAGCTCGAAATTTCAACATCCAGCACAAATTTTGGGCCAAAATTGAACAAATTTAAGCGTCAATTTTCAATAAATTACTTATTTCAACATGTAGCACCAATTTTGAGCGGTAAATTTTGAAATTAATGTGTCAAGTTTCACTCAGCTCGATATTTCAACATCCAGCACAAATTTTGAACCAAAATTAAACTAATTAAAGCGTCAATTTTCAATAAATTACAAATTTCAACATGTAGTACAAATTTTGAGCGAAAAATGTTGTAATTAATGTGTCAAGTTTCACTCAGCTCGAAATTTCAATATCCAGCACAAATTTTGAACCAAAATTGAACAAATTTAAGCGTCAATTTTCAATAAATTACAAATTTCAACATGTAGTACAAATTTTGAGCGAAAAATGTTGTAATTAATGTGTCAAGTTTCACTCAGCTCGAAATATCAACATCCAGCACAAATTTTGGGCCAAAATTGAACAAATATAAGCGTCAATTTTCAATAAATTACTTATTTCAACATGTAGCACAAATTTTGAACGAAAAATTTTGAAATTAATGTGTCAAGTTTCACTCAGCTCGAAATTTCAACATCCAGCACAAATTTTGGACCAAAATTGAACAAATTTAAGCGTCAATTTTCAATAAATTACAAATTTCAACATGTAGCACAAATTTTGAGCGAAAAATGTTGAAATTAATGTGTCAAGTTTCACTCAGCTCGAAATTTCAACATCCAGCACAAATTTTGGACCAAAATTGAACAAATTTAAGCGTCAATTTTCAATAAATTACAGATTTCAACATGTAGCACCAATTTTGAGCGAAAAATTTTGAAATTAATGTGTTAAGTTTCACTCAGCTCGAAATTTCAACATCCAGCACAAATTTTGAACCAAAATTAAACTAATTAAAGCGTCAATTTTCAATAAATTACAAATTTACACATGTAGCACCAATTTTGAGCGAAAAATGTTGAAATTAATGTGTCAAGTTTCACTCAGCTCGAAATTTCAACATCCAGCACAAATTTTGGGCCAAAATTGAACAAATTTAAGCGTCAATTTTCAATAAATTACAAATTTCAACATGTAGCACCAATTTTGAGCGAAAAATGTTGAAATTAATGGGTCAAGTTTCACTCAGCTCGAAATTTCAATATCCAGCACAAATTTTGGACCAAAATTAAACTAATTAAAACGTCAATTTTCAATAAATTACAAATTTCAACATGTAATACAAATTTTGAGCGAAAAATGTTGAAATTAATGTGTCAAGTTTCACTCAGCTCGAAATATCAACATCCAGCACAAATTTTGGGCCAAAATTGAACAAATATAAGCGTCAATTTTCAATAAATTACTTATTTCAACATGTAGCACAAATTTTGAACGAAAAATTTTGAAATTAATGTGTCAAGTTTCACTCAGCTCGAAATTTCAACATCCAGCACAAATTTTGGACCAAAATTGAACAAATTTAAGCGTCAATTTTCAATAAATTACAAATTTCAACATGTAGCACTAATTTTGAGCGAAAAATGTTGAAATTCAGTTCAAAATTTCATAGTTCAGAAAAAATTTTCAACTAAAAGTAAGCAAATTTTCTTTAAATTTCAAATTTCAACATTTAGTACAAATTTTGAGCGAAAAATGTTAAATTAAAGCATCAAATGTCATGTAAATGTAATTCAGTACACATTTTGAGCCAAAATTAAACAAATTAATGCGTAAATTTTCAATAAATCTCAAATTTCGACATGTAGCACAAATTTTGAGCGAAAAGTGTTGAAATTAAAGCATCAAATGTAATGTAAATGTAATTCAGTACAAATTTGGAACAAAAATTAAACAAATTAATGCGTCAATTTTCTATAAATTTCAAATTTCGACATGTAGCACAAATTTTGAGCAAAAAATGCTAAAATTAAAGCATAAAATTTAACTCAGTTCGAAATTTCAACATTCAGTACAAGTTTTGGACCAAAATTAAACTAATTAAAGCGTCAATTGCCAATTTCAGCATTTAGCACACATTTTGATCTAAGAGTGAATTGGTAAAAAAAAGGTTCTTGACTTAGTTGACTCATGTTTATTTAGTGATAGATCTGAATTTTAAAATTTTTTTAAAGCTTCAAAACCTGATATACCTATCTGAAGTCCTTGGAAGTCGGAAGATTCTAATTTATGCGATGTAAATAATTTCAGATACGATACTGTATATAAATTTGATGAGGAATTCAATCTGCCCCAAACCTGTCAGTAATCTTCGTCCCCTTTTAATACTTGACATATCTACGTGACCCAAGCACAAGACAAATATTTGGACTGTACTAACTCATACGGCTCATTCCAACAAGCTAATTGTCATTTAAATGAAACAATGAATGTCACATCCTGTTGAAGTGGTAAGCTAATAATTCCCGCACCGAAAGTACCGAAGGTAAAGCGCGGGAAGTTTTCCATTAAGCAAACATAAAGAGACTTACCTTTCCATTGGAATGTCTGCCAGAAAACGAAGAATGTCTATGTATCATCTTCTTAAATAGCAGCTAAGTACCACAGAGATTGATTATTATTAATATCTATTCTTATTATCCAGGGAATCACATACAGCGAATTGAATTTTAAAAATAGTTTAAATATACATTTATTTTCCTTCCATATAATCTATTAATATCGATGTGATTAGTGTCAAAAATAGTTTAATTATTATCCATTATTTGTAACATTCAGTAAAATCTTTTAGCAGCTAACAGACCAAAAGCAAGATCGCTCGTGAGGTAGCTTCAGGAAACCGTACGTGTGTCATGATTTTTTTTTTTTACAAAACTCACTTTAATTATTGATAAATTGCCTTATTATTATTTTAGCTGGATTCTGTTCTCCAACGATCGTGTTCATGAATTAAACAATGATTGTATTAATCAGCCGGTTGTGTCTTATTATCTTTTATTATTATTTATTATTGATATATTGGTGTGTTGATGTTGAATACTGTGGAGGTGGAAGATCGTCGTCGCTAAACGGCCTCAGCTGTAACGCGTGACCGGGAAGACTGCATTGGAGTAGGCACTCACGAATCCCGGACCTCGAGCTATTGATCAACACGATCTCTTCGCGCCACTGTACGACGCGCAACCTCCACCGCCGTTCATAAATACAGGTGGCTTCGATAATTGCGTGAATTATTTCGAAAAGGCGCGCGACGCCGAACTTAATACTAATCGCATTGTGCAATTATTTCGGAGCCACTATTTCAATTTCATTTATAGGATGCTTCCACAGTTTCGCATGGCTGGATATGGAGATCGTATCGTCTTACACATTTTTAAAAGGCCCGAAGCTAGGGCGGAAAGACTGCAACAGGTTTTGAGGGGCGCATTGCAACATAAGAAATTGATGCGATTTACACCAACCGATTTTCTTGTCTTGCACTCATGTCATATACTAATTCTTGTTTTCCAGTACCGCGACACGTATCGCTGTTGCTTATTATTTAAATAATCCGGTCGATTTTATTCAATTAATGGTTTAATTCCCACGTTTAGATTGTAGATGTCGAAAGGAATAATTTCTACATTATAAGATTAAATACAGATTTTATGCGCACTTGTAAACTACACGGGGAAGTACACAAGTTCATAGACGCTACGGATCTTTTCGCAACTGTTTAATTCGCGTCTCTCCAGGTTTTTGTGCGTTCAGCTATTTGTATACAATTGAAAGCGGAACCAACGCAACTTCTGAATCTGGTGCGCTTTCTAAACCAATAGAAGACCGGTATTTTTTCTATGCAAATTTAGGCTTCAAGAAAAGGTAATTGAATCCGCCGCTATGGTAATAATCCACGTAATTTAAATGCGTACACTTCAACGATTCTTAAAAACCTGCAAGAACTATGAAAATTAAAAAAAAACGCTTCGAAATTTTAGATATTGGTTAAAACTTTAGGAGACTTGAAGGTTTCTTTAAAGTTGGCAAAAAATTACGAAAGCTTTTATGCAGTTGGCTTGTTCTCCCCCAAAACCTTTAGGCATATCGTAAAATGATGACGTTAAGTGGCAAGAGCACTACATTTTAGGAAAAAATTAGAACCGGGCGGGGGTTGTGGGAGTCTGGAATACCCCCCAGGAGAAAAAGAGATTTAATTTTCACTTCTAAAGCTTTCGTGTGCTGGGGGGACCCCCCCGGTGATATGTTCTCCCCCAAAACTTTCAAGCATAAGGATCTTTTCCAAAAATGATTGAGAAGTGGCAAGGGCCATACACATTTTCAGAAAAATGTAGAACCGGAGGGTCTGGGGGGTATAGATTCCTTCCCAGGAGAAAAAGACAGATTTGATGCTCACTTTGTCATAAAACTTTCGTTTGCTGAAGGGCGGGGGGGAGGGTATTCCATAACCCCAGACCCCCTGGTAATACGGAAGGACCCTTTCCAAATATGATGATAATAAGTGGCAACGGCACTACACATTTTTCGAACACAATTTAGAACTAGCGGCCGGGGGGGGGGGGGGAATTCGTGAATTCGTCATTAAACCTTCGTGCGCTGGGGAGAGAAAAATAATCGTAACACTCTGAATACCGCCCAGGAAACAGAAAGACGTTTAAAGTTCACTTCGTCATAAAACTGTGCCCCCCCCCCCCGTTAGATGTTCTCCCCCAAAACCTTTAGGCATATCGAAAAATGAATGATGAACCGGGCGGGGGTTGTGGGATAAAAAGAGAGATTTAATGTTCACTTCGTCATAAAACTTTCGTGTGCTGGGGGGACCCCCCGGTGTTATGTTCTCCCCCAAAACTTTCAAGCATAAGGATCTTTTCCAAAAATGATTGATAAGTGGCAAGGGCCCTACACATTTTCAGAAAAATGTAGAACCGGAGGGTCTGGGGGGGTATAGAATCCTTCCCAGGAGAAAGAGAGATTTAATGCTCACATTGTCATAAAACATTCGTTTGGTGGAGGGGGGGGGCGATATTCCATACCCCCAGACCCCCTGGTAATATGGAAGGACCCTTTCCAAAAATGATGATAATAAGTGGCAACGGCACTAAACATTTTTCCAACACAATTTAGAACTAGCGATCGGGGGGGGGGGGGGTGTTCGTCATTAAACCCCTTCGTGCGCTAGGGAGAGAAAAATAATCGTAACACTCTGAATACTGCCCAGAAATGTTTACTTCGTCATACAATTTTCGTGTGCTGGGGGGCCCATGTTCTCCCCCAAAACCTTCAAGCACAAGGACCTTTTCCAAAAATGATTATGTTAAGTGGCAAGGGCCCTACACATTTTCGGAAAAATGTAGAACGGGGGGGCTGGGGGGTATGGAACCACCCCCAGAAGAAAGAGTCAGATTAATGTTCACTTTGTCATAAAACTTTCGTGTTCTGGGGGGGGGGGTATTCCATACACTCAGAGACCCCCCGGGAAAATGTTCCTTCAAGCATAAGGACCTTTTCTATAAATGATTATGTTAAGTGGCAAGGGCCCTACACATTTTCTGAAACATGTAGAACTGGGGGGGGGGGGGGTATGGAACCACCCCAGAAGAAAGAGGCAGATTAATGTTCACTTTGTCATAAAACTTTCGTGTTCTGGGGGGGGGGGGTATTCCATACACTCAGAGACCCCCCGGGAATATGTTCCTTCAAGCATAAGGACCTTTTCTACAAATGATTATGTTAAGTGGCAAGGGCCCTACACATTTTCGGAAACATGTAGGACCGGCGAGTCTTGAGGGGGTATGGAATCGCCCCCCCCCCCCCCGCCGGGAGAAAGAGACAAATTTAATGTTCACTTTATCATTAAACTTTCGTGTGCTGGGAGAGGGGGAGTATTCCATACCCCCAGACACCCCGGTAATATGTTCTCCCCAAAATATGCAGGTTTATGGACCCTTTCCAAAAAGGATGATGTTAAGTGGCAAGGGCGCTACACATTTTGGAAAAAAATAGAGCAGGGGGTAAGGGCATACCCCCCAGGAGAAAAAGAGAGATTTAATGTTCACTTCGTCATAAAACTTTCGTGTGCTGGGGGGGGGGGTGCGGGTGGGGGCGGTGATATGTTCTCCCCAAAACCTTCAAGCATAAGGACCCTTTGCAAAAATGATTATGTTAAGTGGCAAGGTCCCTACACATTTTCGAAAAAATGTAGAACCTGGGGGTCTGGAGGGTATGGAAAACCGCCAGGAGAAACAGAGAGAGTTAATGTTTAATTCGATAGAAAACTGTGCTCAAGGGGGCTCATCTTGATGTGGCTTGAAAACTGTTAAGGGGTTTTTGAAGACTTTTAGAGACACTTGGGCGACCTTGAACACCTTTCAACACTTTAGAAACGATGAGCAACGGTGATAGTAGCGCACGTCTTCAAAGAAACCTCGACAAAGTCTCGTTATGACTCTGGCAAATTTTGGCACATCCCTGAAAGACCTTAGTGGTCTCTAGAAGATCCGGAAAACTCTTGAAAATTCTTAATGAGACTGATAGAGACTTAGGGACCTGCAAGGAGCGATAATTTAAAATTTCCTCATCTTTGCTCAAAGCGTGAACCTAAACCAGTTAAATACTTTCATCACTATAGGGGTAGTTTACAAGGACGAGAGGATGGCCCCCATTTCACATGGAATGCTATGGGGAAATTTCTTTTTCCTGAGCCGCAAAGCTGGTCGGACTGTTATGTTTGGGGCGACCTGTCAAGCTATAATATGTGGATTTATTCGAAAGGGTGTAGGACAAATTACCTAAACGTTCTCCCTTACAAATGTATAAGAGCGAGTCTTATTATTGTCAACACCGTTTAATCAGTCATGGCAGATTTAGAGAGTCGAAATCCTATCGCCGACGAAAAGCGGAAACGTTATCGACCTTGAATTTACAATACCCTAACCAGAATGAGGACGTAGGAATTTTTGTCCCAGGAAGAGAAGATGATTGATTGAGATTTTCGCTTCCTCTGCGAAATGCGTGTGAGCCCGTCTCGCGGAAATTAAGCACCAAAATTGTCGGTAATCCGTCACTGTTATGTACAAAGCCGCGGAAACATCAAAGCGACTACATTCAATGGTTCTCAGTATATTGATCCAGAGCCTTCATCTATTAATCACAGGCGCTTCTCCGAAAGGAGGTGTTTTCTCACCGAGCTTGGCCTACTAATTTCCAGAGAGGTTCATAAATTTACATTTATATACTTACCGAACACCAAAATCGGGGGATCTGCAATTTATTATATCAAATCCTTTTGACGTCTACAAACTAATATATCGACTTTCTTCTTAACCTTTATCATCGTAAGTGTCATTTTCAGGCGGCTCGACATTTTTCTTAATGCCCTTATTGAATTTCGATACGCGATCGGCTTAAAGACGTGTCTTTTACGCCGACCTGGCCCGTTTTAAAGCGCGACTTATTGGCAGGGTTTCGCGAACAACCTCTCCGAATGGTCGCCGTCGAAATTGAATTTCCAATCTTAAAGGTATGACTCCCTGTTAAAACAACCGACAGCAACAAGTGACAAATAAATGATGGGGAATTTATAAGATTGATACAGTTCGTTGTCATGTTGTGTCTTGATATTTATTGATCGCGAATTTAATCCCCGACTGTTCGATTCGCTACAATAACGTTAAATGACAGGACAGTTGTCTTTTCGACTTCTCTTTCCGCCGATTTTGATCTTGTGAAATTGCAACATTGATGGGCCTACCCTCTCTACGCATCAGTAATGTGATCATGGATCGGATACAATCGAATTTTATTGCGCTAGAGAGCCATAATCTATGCAGATGTTCGATTAGTATACGAGGTACGTCAAACACTTTTGATAAACCGATGCTATGATTGTTGCGAAAGATTCACGTTGACCATTTGTGGCAGGGATTAATGGTACTAATTAATCAACACTAAAAATGAATAAGAGGGTTCTGCACTGCAGTAAAGAAACAGAAATCCAATCGAGTTGTGAATTAAGGGATTAAAAGTAAAATCGACACGGCAATTTGGTTTGGTGGGCGAGACTTTTTCCACGATTTAATGTATAGAGCTTCTAAATTTTTAATTAATCTAAAAAGCTCAAAAAGAACGCACTTGAAAATTTAAACGTTTT